GGCGCCTTAGACGTTCACCAGGGTGGGGCTACCCAGGTCGCTGGTTTGTGACGCTGTAGGTGGGGGCGGGGTCAGAGCGGGGAAATAGCGGCCCCTTCTGCTGCCTCTTGCCACTGGGGCCTGCTGGGTCCCGTCTCACTGCCCACTCCCTCGCTGGCCTATCTGGGCAGGAATGCGGGACCACAGTCAACCTGCCACCCTGTGCCCTCACTGGTTCCGCCAGTCGCTCACTGGGTCGTTCACTGGGTCGGCCCTTTGCAACCCCACACCTGGGATCCTCGCACCTGAGTCCATCTGACCGAGTTTTCCTGTGCAACCCTGCTCCGCCAGCTGCTGGTTTTGCCCCTCTTACTGGTCAGGCTGAAGCATTTGTTGTTATCAGACTTCCGAAAAGTTCAATTTTCTGTGTTCTGGCTGTGTTTTCTGTTGCTAATATTTAGTTGTCTCTAAACTTGGTTGTGTGAGAAAGCACGGTGTTTCCACCTATGCCTCCATCTTGGCGGAAGTTGACTTCTCTGATTTGTAACCCTTAAAAGGGTTACACATGTATAGTTGCCTCTATTTCCACATAAATTATCTATATTTGTGTCCCAATTATATTACAATTAAGTTTGGAGAACACTCTCTGCTTCCTGAAAACACTTATTGTTGGTATCTAAGGAATTTATTTTGTAATGTAATTTCGAACACTGCCAGGATTTTATTGTTGTAGGAACTATACACTGTACACTGAGCCTGCATTGAATTCCTGGTTGTCTACACTCTTAGTCAATGCACTTTGTAGCAGAGGAGGATGTTAAACTTTGACCTTTCTCTGGTTTGTGGTCTTTCTGAATGTTTTGCTTTCTGCTTCCCAAAGACAAAATGATGTAGTTTAACAATGATTTCAACCAGTAGCTTTATGATGGAGACTTAAAATTGGTCCCTTTCATATGGCAAATTTAAGTCACCTGTCATATCTTGGCCCCAGTTTCTTCTCCTGTAATTTTAAGTATTCTCTGGAGCTGCTTCTATTATATTCATCTATATGCATACTTATTAAAGTCTTACTAAATGTGTGCTCAGCACTGTGGGGGACTTGGTCTTTGCCCTCAAAGGCTTGCACTGGGGGCAGGAGTGGTGGTTTCAGTATGATCACGTAACCCGACTGAATGAATGGCCACCTGAAACTTGCCAGGCCCCGGAGTGGCGACCACGAGCTATTTAAGACCTGATAGACACCAGTGAAAAATTCCAGCAGAATGTTTCCAAATGTAGACTGAAAGTTGATTTATGTATGCAGAGCTATCTATGCACAAGAAATCTACCTAGATCCTAGACTTGTTCTGTTGTATAATTAGAAATATGAACTTTCTACTTCACAAAGGTGGGAGCAGATTCTATGAAATGCCATAGGACACTGTTGTTGTTTCTTTTTTTTTAACTGTAGGTCGCCACTAGAATTTTCTTTTAAAAGGCGGGATAGAGGGGAGAGTAGGGGGGCTGCTATTTTTTCTTCAATATTTTTTTCAGTCAACACAGTTGATTGATATTCAACCAATGCATGTTGATATGGCTCTGAAAGCTGTTACCCCTGAACAAACAACTAGTGTCTGAGTCCCCTTTTTCCAACCCCTTCCCCATGGCCGACAATTTTCCCACCCCCTGGAGTTCTCCACCCATCAACTCATAAGGAAATGCACATCAGGGGGCCTCTAGGATATCATTAGAACAGGGGTCCCCAACCTCTGGGCTGCAGACTGGTACCAGTCCGGGCCTGTTAGGAACTGGGCCACACAGCAGGAGGTAAGCTTGAAGGTAATATGCTTGAATCATCCCGAAAGCACCCCCTCTCTGTCCACGGAAAATTCTTCTTTTGTGAGATTGGTCCCCGGGGCCAAAAAGGTTGGGAAATGCTGCTGAGAGCTTTGAGACAGTGTTTGATCTTAGTGTTTAGTGCTCAATGTCATTAAATATTTTGAACAGAAATGCTCACTTCTGCATATGTGTACACATTGGGTCATGATACAAAATACATTTCTTATGAGTCATGAAACATTGAAAGCTACTGTTCTATGGGAAATATGAATGTAGGAAGAAATCTCTTTCAACGAACTGCTTTCTTTGTCAAGAAACCATCCTCGTTGGCCTGAGGCTGAGAATTTTGCTGACTTTATATTTATACTTACTCCTATAGTTATGATACAGGTGTTTCCCTTACCATGGTGATATCAACTTCTTAAATTAATTATGTTAGAAATAAAAGTAAATTGGCTTAAATAACATTACATCAATCATGATATATATGGTACATAAATTAGGAAGGTGGTGTAAGAATGATTATAATTTTGTAGGTACCTCAGCTAGCTAAATCTTCTACTCTATAGATAAAACAATGGTACCTGAGAAGTGATTAATTTTAAGCAATTAGTCACCTGCCCCAGGTCTCATAGCTCAACCAAGGATCAGAAGCTTTGGCCCACCATAAAAAGCAGGGCTTGTTAACTATCGAAGGGTAGCAGAATATGCCACTTTGGCACACTGATTATTTGCAGATGTAGGCACTTGGAAACCACCAAATACAAGCTTTCTCTCAACTCTGCTTATCTGCCTAAAGACAGATCCTCCAAAAGGAACTCAGTTGTCATAAATCCCCTCTCCTCAAGTTCAGTCACCAGGGAAGACAGATTTTTATCACAGGATAGGAGACTTGAAGTCTATCCCACATCCAGACAGCTTTGTCACAAATTATCATAACTCCCATCTATTTTGCTTCAGGCCCATTTATACTTCCTAAAAATTATTTACACCCCCTCTCCACTTTTCCTATTATGATAACTAAACTTGAATTCTAAACCCCCACCAGGTGTTATTTATTTTTCCCTGGTTATCTCACAGGTACACGTGAGGAATATATGGTAATAAACTTCTAATATTTTTTTCTCGTTACTCTTTTACTACAGGGGTCTCAGCTAAAAAGAGTAGAGGAAAAAATCATTTTTCTTTCCTTCCACTGTGTTTCACAAATACCAGCATTACGTGTTAAATATAGGGTGCAGAATATTTAGTACACTTTGTAGATCCATACTGAATGGATAGGCATTTTTTTTAAACATGTGGTTCAGAGCTCTGTGACATTGCTCCTCTGAAACAGGTTTTGTAAGGTAAGAAAACTACAGGGAGCACTCGCTGGGTGACTCAGTTGGTTGAACCTTGTGCCATGCACCAAAAGTTTGCAGGTTCAATTTGCAGTGAGGGCACATGCCAAGCTTGCAGGTTTGATCCCTGATGGGGGCACCTATGGGAGGCAACTAATAAGATGTTTCGGTCTGTCCCCCTTCCTCTCCCTCTCCCTAAAATCAATAAACATATCCTAGGAGGAGGAAGGGAGGAAGGGAGGAAGGGAGGGAGGGAGGAAGGGAGGGAGGGAGGGAGGAAGGAAGGAAGGAAGGAAGGAAGGAAGGAAGGAAGGAAGGAAGGAAGGAAACTAGGAAACTATGAGGAATGCACTAATTCATAAGACACTGCAAAATGTCTTCCTTCCTTCACCATAGTGAATGGGGGTGGCGGGAAAGGCCTGAGGATAGATTGTAGTACTTTTAAGCTTTCTGCATTGTATATGGTAGGGGGAAAGTAGGGTTTTAAGGATCTTAGGCTTATTTTCTTAAGAAGGCATAGACAATACTATACACTTCTTTATTGGAATTGCTTTGTCGTGCTGCATTGCTGGCTTTGTCATCAGTGGATGTTGCAATTAGTTTAACATGCAAAGGAAATGCCAGTCAAGCCCAGCACCTGGGACCTCCTCATCCTTGCAACATGTCAGGCCTCAGCCAGGAGACAAAACTGCTCAAGGCTGTGTGTGGAGTGCAGGTAAAAAGGAAGTGGGTGGCAGTGAGCCTAGGTGTATAAGGGCACCTGGGCCCCAAGGCCAGTGTTTATATTAGCCAATCACTTCCACCTCTGGTACACTTAACCAGGTGCTTATTACATCCCATGGCATTATCCTGACTTCAGGACTTTGGAGAAAAGCTGGGGTTAAGACACTGCTCAAGTGCATCAGACAACAAAATGCTTTGTGCAGTCAGATGTAAATTCAGGCTGAACAGTGAACGGTGCTGCCCCAGATGGAATTGGGCTACTTTTCACCACCAGAGTCTTGTGAGGCAGATAAGAGGTTCACCCCAAACACATGGGCTATTCGGCAAAACACGATACAACCTTACAAAGAGGGTCTTTGCTCTATTCCAGCAACCAGAAACAATAAATAAAATGGAAGATCTTTCTCTGGGAAAGCAGGCCTCGGATTTAAAGCAGGGGGCCTCTAGGAGGGAGGTGAGCAAAAAAAAAGAAAGGCGAAGGCGCTTCTCCAAGAAGCCGGGTTCATTCAAACCCAGAGGACAGCAAACCCCGCCTCCCCATGCTGCCGCCCGCTCAATCGCCGAGCGCTCCGGGTGTGAGCTGGCCCCGCGGGGAGCGGCTTGGAGCCCAGGAGGCGGTGGCAGGGGTGGTTTGAGCAGGCCCGCGTGGCGGATAGGCCCAGGCAAGTAACACCCCTTCCTCCTCCTCCTCCTCCTTGCTCAGTTCAACTCCCACTCGGCCCCGGCCACGCCCTGCTGCCACCGCCCCCTCGGGCAGCTTTGCGCTAGGCAGCACGGCCTCGGTCGGGGGCGGGAGGGAAGGCGGTGCCAAGGAGGGGGCCGCCGCTGCCACCAGAAACTACAAGGGCCGACAGGCTTTGCGGCATAGCCCAGCCCCCTCTCTCCCACCACTCAGCGTGCGTCACCAGGGGCTCAGCCAATGAAGACCAAGCCAGGTAAAAAGGGCGCCCGGGTCCGGATGCGCCTCAGGAAAGGCATGCTCCCTGCATAGGGGCAGCGACCAGTTCACTCGGCGCGCCAAGCCGTTGGTGGCCCGTGCGTGCCCTCATCCGCCTCTCTTGCTTCCCTTAAGCGATAGACCTACTTTTTTCTTTGGTGGCAATTCTGAGGGATGCTGGAGGAGGATTTTGAGAGGAGGGTGCTGGGGAAAGAGTAGGGGGCGGGATATCCTGAGACAACAAGTTTGGCTGTAAGGAAGGCCTACCGACAGGCGCCAGAGCTAGATCGCTGAGAGAAAGAACACCAGAGCAGCAAAGAGAGGAAAAGAAAAGCGGCAGAAAGAATAACCCCGAGAAAGGGGGTGGAGAGGAGGCGGCCCCAGCGCCCCGGCCCCCGGCAGGTCGGTGGCCAATCCGCTGGGGGAAGGGGTGGAGAGTCGGCGGCTCCGGCGGAGAGAGGCCGAGGGGGGTGGGGAGTAGGCCAGGTTCGCACCGCCCTGGCCCCGCCCCCGGCCCGCGCCGCCGCCCGCGCTGAGCGCCGCCGCTGTCAATCAAGGGCGAGTCAGCCGGGCTCGGGCGGAGAGAGGAGCTGCTACGCCACAGCCCAGCGGCGGCCATTCGTGGAAAAAGAGGCAGAGCCTGTGCCAGCTACAGCCTCCTTCGAGCCACCGCGGGCGGGCGGGACCGGCCTCTCCTCCCGCCTCGCCCCCACCCCCACCCACCTCTATCCCTGTGTCTCCGTCTGAGGGTTTGTCCTGTTAATGCGGGATGAGCGGTACGTATTCTCCACCCCCCTCGGTCTCCTTCACCGCCTCCCTCCCTCCCTCCCTCCTTCTCCAGACCCTGCTCGGTTCTCCCCCCTCCCCCGGGGCCGCTGAGATGCTTTAAGGGGAGGAGGAGAGGGCGGGAGGGAATCAGAGGGAGGGAAGGAGGGCTGCGTTTTGTTTTAATGTCTGAGAGAGAACAACCTCCTTTTGGGTGTTGCTCTGGAGCCGATGGGTCGGGTTTCAAACCACGTTTTGTGATATCCCCCTCCTCCCTTCCTTCCTTCTCCCCCACCCCCTGCCGGTGTGCGTGGATCGCGGGTTCATGGAGATTAATGTTCGCGGGGAGGGAGAGAAGGGGAGTGGGGGAAGACGAATAATAATAATCCTAATAACCTGTTGTCGTGTGTGCGTGTGGGGGGTTTGTTGCAGATCAGAAGAAGGAGGAGGAGGAGGAGGCGGCGGCATCGGCGATGGCTACAGAAGGAGGGAAAACCTCTGAGCCAGAGAATAACAATAAAAAACCCAAAACCTCAGGCTCCCAGGTAAAAGAAAATGTAAAAACAAAATTCCTCACAAAACGTAAGGGGAAAGAGGGAGTTATGCCCTTTAAATGCCCAGAAGTGAAGAACAGAGTAAAAATGTTAATCCACTCAAAGCATCTTTCTGATAGTGAGGAACTTAAATTGTAAATTTGTAAAGATTTCACATGTTTGAGGGTAACGGTTAAAATTACACCAGGAACTCAGACAATTAGGAAGCTGTGTATTTTTCCCAAGGGCATTTGGAGTTTAGAAAATAACACTTTAAGAAAGTTCGTTAGAAATTTCCTTTTATTTAAACTTTGTATTACAGGATCAGCTTCCTTATTCTGTATCTTACTGTTTTTGTTAATATTCCTTTTTGATTTCTGCCACCGCCTAAGTTCTGAAATGTAGAGCTGTCAAAATAAATAAGCCCCTCCCAACTCTACTGGCCTCCACTAAATCCGCCCACTTTTTTCCCCCCCTCTCCTTTACCATCCCGTTTTTGGGTAGGACTCTCAGCCCTCTCCTCTGGCTTTACTGGCAGCTACTTGCAGCAAAATAGGGACTCCTGGTGAAAATCAAGCAACTGGACAACAACAAATTATTATAGATCCAAGCCAAGGATTGGTGCAGCTTCAAAATCAACCACAACAGCTAGAACTGGTAACAACACAACTTGCTGGAAACGCTTGGCAACTTGTTGCCTCCACTCCTGCTTCAAAGGAAAATAACGTTTCTCAACCACCTTCTAGTTCGTCTAGTTCTTCCAGCAGTAATAACGGGAGTACGTCTCCTACAAAAAGTAAATCAGGTAATTCTTCTACCCCTGGTCAATTTCAAGTCATACAAGTACAAAATCCAAGTGGTAGTGTACAGTATCAAGTGATTCCACAACTTCAGACAGTGGAAGGCCAGCAAATTCAAATCAGTCCAACCAGTAGTTCATCTCTACAGGATTTGCAGGGTCAAATTCAGCTCATTTCTGCAGGTAATAATCAAGCTATCCTCACGGCTGCTAACAGGACAGCTTCTGGGAACATTCTTGCTCAAAACCTGGCAAATCAGACAGTTCCAGTTCAAATTAGACCTGGTGTTTCAATACCACTGCAATTACAGACCCTTCCTGGTACTCAGGCTCAAGTTGTAACAACACTACCAATTAACATTGGAGGAGTGACTTTAGCTTTGCCAGTGATAAACAACGTGGCTACAGGAGGAGGGGCAGGACAGGTTGCCCAGCCCGCTACTACTACTGATAGTGGAACTTCAAATGGGAGTCAGTTAGTTTCCACACCCACCACCACCACTGCTTCTGCCAGTACTATGCCGGAATCTCCCTCCTCTTCAACCACCTGTACAACCACTTCTTCAACATCTCTGACCAGCAGTGACACATTAGTGAGCTCAGCAGATACGGGACAGTATGCAAGCACATCAGCCAGTAATTCAGAACGCACTATTGAAGAATCTCAAACACCTGCTGCTACTGAATCTGAAGCCCAAAGCTCCAGTCAGCTTCAGACGAATGGAATACAGAATACACAAGATCAGTCAAATTCTCTTCAGCAGGTGCAAATTGTGGGCCAGCCTATCTTACAACAGATCCAGATCCAACAGCCTCAGCAACAGATTATTCAGGCTATTCCACCACAGTCATTTCAACTCCAGTCAGGGCAGACAATTCAGACCATCCAGCAGCAGCCTTTACAGAATGTTCAACTTCAAGCAGTAAATCCGACTCAGGTGCTTATCAGGGCTCCAACTTTAACTCCTTCAGGGCAAATCAGTTGGCAAACTGTACAGGTTCAAAATATTCAGAGTCTTTCCAATTTGCAAGTTCAGAATGCTGGGTTATCCCAGCAATTAACCATCACCCCAGTGTCTTCAAGTGGTGGCACAACTCTTGCTCAGATTGCTCCAGTGGCTGTTGCTGGTGCCCCAATAACTTTGAATACTGCCCAGCTTGCATCAGTGCCTAACCTTCAGACAGTGAGTGTTGCCAACCTGGGTGCTGCAGGCGTTCAAGTGCAAGGAGTTCCTGTTACAATCACTAGTGTTGCAGGTAAGATACTACAATCTTTTCTCTTTAAAGACTTTTTATATGGTTTTTACTAATTATTAGTTACTGCTTTTCTTTGCCAGTTCTTAGATTGGACATAGACCTGTGAAATAAATAGATAATCATACGGAATCTAAAATACGCAGGAATGCTGCACTGTCATAACTCTGTAATCATCAGTTGAACTGTTCACATTTGTACATTTTAGTGTTAGATTTTATGTGTTAAATTTATTAGACAGTTTTATAAAATTCTTCCGTGGAGCAAAACATCCTGATTAGAATCATAATAGTTTTCTGTAATGTAGAGACCATATTTGAATACACTAGAACTCTTCTGAAAGAACCCTAGTCAAAATGATGTTTATGTCTCCCTTAAGGGAAAGTAGGTCTAAATCGGAATTAGTATACAGTTGTGAGCTGCTTGAAGTTTTAATTCTACTTTGTAGTAAGTCTTTTTCTTAAATTGGTGGTTATTTCTCATGACCCAACATCTTGTTGCCCATGCTTTTGCTTTTTATTGTACAGCTTTGTTTTAAACTAGATATTGATGAAGTTGATATAACTTTGCCTTGGAAGTTGTTTTAATTACTTTTTTCTACTTTTTTGCTAAAACCAGGATTTGCTCAGGCTTTTGAGTTAATTATCCTTATAAAATTATATTAAGTAAATCTTATGATAGTTATCTTATCTGTAGGTGTTTTTAGAGCAGAATTGGTGGAAAGAAATTAAAAATGACAGTAAAATATCATTAATTGGAATTAATTGTGGTAGGGTCATTTTAAAACCAGTTATAAAGCAGTTAATTGTTATGCATATAAATAATACTTTGAAGTATGGAAAACTAGTTACAAGTATTTTAGTTTTCCTGGATCAGTCTTATTTTACTTTCTACCTTTGTTTTCTAGTAATTAAACACATTTCATTCATTCTGATTGGCTGAAAACCTAGTTGTCATTTTAGTGCCTTTGATACTTTCAGACTTATTTAGTTAAATATTTGTGTTTGTTAATCTGCAGTGAATAAGCATATCACTTGAATGACCTTTCTTGAAACATTTCAGAAAAGTTATACTAGGGTTCTCTTTCTTTACAGATAATAAAAGTGGAAATTGCTGGATAAACATCTCTGATTCAGAACAGAGATCAGATGTTTTATTTAGTTACCGTTACCTCTAAAGCAAAGCTATCCAGAATTTTCTGTGATGATGGAAATGTTCTATATCTGTTTTGCTTAGTATGTTAGCTACTAGCTATGTGTGGCTATTGAGCACTTATTTAATATGTGGATGAAATGAATTTTAAATTTTATTTACTTTTAACTTGAATAAACCACATGTGGCTCGTGGCTCCTGTGTTGACAGCACAGTGACCTAGTCAAGTAATGTTTTTTTGAGTGTGGTATTTTTTTCCTCTAAAACTGTTACAGCACATTATATATAAGTGCTTCTTTGGGTTACAGTCCTTAGCATGCTTTGTTCCTGCTCTTTTTCTAAATATTGACAGTAACATAAGTATTTCAAAAAATGTCTGTTTTTGCTGGGTGGAATAATTTGCATTGTCAAAGCAAAAATTATTTCACTTATATTTTGGCTTCTCTATTAAGCATTAGTGAAGTATTAAGATAATTGAGTAATTTGTCATTGAGTTTAGATATAGTCAATTTTGTTCTCTGATTAATATCAATTACAACTCAGAGTTTTTCCGTTGCCCGTTGTGAGGGTAAGTCAATGTTAAATGAGAGCATGATTTTCTGACTGCCTGAGATTCACTTGAATGATGCATCATTAAAAATGGAGGATTTATGTTCTGGAACTATGATTTTGGAGGGGAGATGTGGTCAAGGGATTTGCCTTTCAAACAAATTTTCCAGGTGATTCTAAATCTCACTGAAATTTGAGAATCAAGTCATAGCAGTGCACCAGAAGGTGCAGAGAGAGTTCCTGTGTGCCTCAGAGAATGGATTTCGCTGGCAAATAGAGCTTATTGTATTTGTTTTTCACAGACTTCTATTGACTGGCTGTGTGCTGAGCACTTCAGTAGTTGTATTTAGTCCACTGTTTTGGGGAATAATTTTTTTAAAAGTTTACATGATGAGGGGGGCACTTAAATGTATGAGAAAATTAGAACTTAACAGTTTTGTTTTGTTTTTTCCTGAAACCAAAATCTTAAATTGTGTCAGTGTTGAAGCGCCTTTGTTCTAATAGATATGCTCAATCATTTTAAGATGATAACCATGTTACAAACCCCAGAAATGTACCCTGATTTCTACAAGTCATTACAGTTAATCTGGGCCCAATTGTTCGCAGATTTATTTACTTCCTAGAGTAGTAAGGCTTGACAAATGGTTGCTGAATTAAGGTATGGAAGTTGATGGGAAAGATAAGCAGCTTGGGACTGGGAGTAATGCCTTAGAGTAGTTTCAGTGGAACTAACGAAATAGCTCTGATTTCAGTAATTTCTTTTGGCTTTTGAGTTTTAAAGACATTAGGAGTGGGGCGTAAGTTACTTTACTGACTCTAGAAGGGGGAGAATGAGCAACAAGTGTCTGTATATTCCTTTTATAAATGAGCCCTGGAAGTTCAGATCTTTTACTTTGTGTCTTCATTCATTCACTTTTAGTACTTTTTGATTATCTCATGTCTCTCTGCAACTCAGCCTCTCCTCCACCCCCCCCCCCCCGTGGTATTGTTTAGTTTGGTTTAACTTTTGGGAAAAAATTTGCTGTGAACATTCATGACAACTTTTATTAGGGTTTGAAAAAATTATTAGTAGTCTGCTTTGACAGAATGTAGTGGCTAGCTCAAGAACAAAGGACTAAAAGTTTTTTTTATCATTCATCCTTGTGTTACTCTTCTGGAGGTAGGGGAAGGGTCTGGATGCTATGGGCACAAAAATAAATAAAATTATACAAGGTAAATTGAAGGAAACCAGTTCTTAAAGATGGGGAGCTTCATACTTGATTTTATGAAGTAAAACTATTAGTGACAATCTACGGGGATCCTCTTTCCTTGGTAATATATTCAGCATAATATGTTTCTGTGGTTTAGTCTCAGCTTGAAATCCTGAATTCCAGGCCGAGCATCTAGCATTTAATTAGTTAGACTTGTAGCAGGAACTAAATGCGCGTACCCCTACAGACTGTTGTTTGTTTCCTTGTTGGGATTCTGATCTTGACTTTGACTAAAGGAAAAGCAGAAATTCTATTTTAAGAACAAAGCTATCAACCAGTCATTACCATTGGTTTAAGAACATCCTTTGTTTTAACTAATTGACCGAATTGGAAGATATTTTGCTCAAAAAGAACTACCTGTTTTCACTATGTACTGCTAGTCAAAGAGCACTGGATAAAGTGAACTTTGGGAGTTATATCTCCTTAAAGAATTTAGAATATGCAGGGACCATTGGTATTTAAATCTGTAATTAGCTTGCACTAGCCAGCATTTTGATTTATTTTTGGTCCTAATCATCACAGATAGTAACAGATTATGCTTTTGTTTGATGGATGGGTATTTCTTTACCAATTTTAAAGACTATTAACACCTTTGTGCTAATTCTCACAGAAAGGAAGTTCAGAGTCTAGCATAAGTAATGCCTACTTGAGCATGGTTGGTAGGGTGATAATAATATGACTATAATAATTTACAGTTTTAATTTGAACATCGTCTAAAATGTCATGGTATGCTTGAGTGTAATATTGTCATGGTACAGAATTACAAGCTTATGATTTTATAATAAATAGGGGGCATTATTTGTTCCAGACCCTGTACTTAAGGATAAGATGATTCTAGCCCTTCAAGAACTTGACTTTCTTACTTTCATTTATTTTGGGGGGGGATTTAAATGATGAAACCTGTGGACATAATAAACTAGGAATAGGAGGGCCAGTTTCTCATTTATTGCTAAAATGGGGACCAAAGAAAATAACTGACGTGTTTATATTTAATTTATAAACCTAATTTGATCCTCCAGTGCAATCAACCTCTTATATCAAACATTTTTCCAGAGCTACTAAAAGTGGAAAGTTGACTTGAAGTTTAATAGGAGTATGGTTTATCTTTGACATATAGACACATATATGTTTTATTACTTTGGATTTCCTTAGAAGGCATCTTAATATAACATGTACACATAATGCTGTATATATATATACACATGTATGTATATACACACATATACACATATTTCTATATACATATGCTACCATCTTTGGTATTTCCTTTTTGAAAGAAATCAGTTTTACTCCTTTAAACTTATTTTTCTAAAATCTTCTAATTCTGTTAATTATGGATTGGAATTATGAGGAACTTACATTTGGTTGGCCAAAAAGTTCCTTTTTTTGTGTGTGTGTAAGATGGCTCTATTAGCGCTTAGTTTTTAACTTTATTCAAAACAATTTTGTTAGATTGTATTGTGACACCTCTAATATCAGTGTGCATATAAAAAAACTTAACCAAATTAGTGAATTTTTGTGTGACCATTTTAATGTTGAAGATAGAAGAAAATATCCAAAATTTTTGATATATTATGCTTTACTTCAAGAAAGGCAAAAATGCAACTAAAATGCAAAAAAAGATTTGTGCAGTGTATAGAGAAGGTACTATGACTGATTGAATGTGTTAAAAGTGGTTTGTGAAGTTTTTGTGCTGGAGATTTCTCACTGGACAATGCTCCGTGGTTGGGTAGACAAGCTGAAATTGATAGTGGCCAAATTAAGACATTAGTTGAAAACAATTACTGTTATACCATGTGAGAGATAGCCGACATACTCAAAATACCCAAATCAATAAAGTTATTGCTGAAAATGAAAAGTTTGTCTTTTACTTACTTATTTTGCGGAAAACAACCGAATGAACTTTTGAGCCAACCCAGTATTAGAATACCTTGTACAAGTAGTGATTTCGGTTCTGAACTTTCTGAATTCCAGGTTAGCTTTAACCATTAGATGATGTACAGCATGACCTTTAAATTTGTTGATGTTGCCAAAACAGTATTGTTGCCTATT